GCGACCAGAGAGTGGTGACCAGAGAGGCGATATCCACGGTCAGTTTGATGCAGTCGTGGCCTTTATGTCTACGGAACGAACCCCTTACACTGGCAGACTGGCCCTAGTTGCCTCCTCGATATCCTTTCTGATTTGCCGTACCATTATGATGTGCCAGAAGAGTCTGGCCCTAGCTTCGGTGCGGGGCAGACGTGTTGAATCGGCGCTCCAGCAGTTTGGTGTTGTTTGCCCGTTTCGGCCGGTTGGGGGCGGGTGTGTGTCTGCTCGCCTGTGCTGACGTGGCGTTACGATGGGGGTCCCTCTACCCCCAGTCGTCCGGGCTCAGTCTGTGGGACTAGAGTTCTCTGTGCGGGCTGGTTACCCGGAGATTGCCCTGGCTTGTGAACTGCTCTCTGTCCCTGTGTTTGCGATTTATGGGGTCGAGTTGGTAACGGCCCGTAGGGCCATTGTGAAGTTTGCAGAGGAGGCGGCGTATCGCGATTTTCTCCGGCGATACGAGGGGCGGACACTGCCCCTGCCGGATGGTGCGGGCACTGTCACCCTCTCGGATAGAAGTGGTGCACTTACTTACATCAGTGTGCATGGGGCTCCCTTGGAGTTTCCAGAGGCTCTGCTACGGCGGTATTTCGGGCGGTTTGGCGCAGTTGTTAGTGTGAGAGTGAACGTGGTGTCTTCTAGTCCTCTTAAGGGTGTGAGGTCTAACATTCGCACCCTGGGCATGAGACTCCGGGCGGATATTCCGTCCTCTGTGCGCCTTATGGGGTACAACGTTCGGGTGTTTTACGCCCGTCAGCCGCGGACGTGTTATCGTTGTGGTCTTTTGGGCCATCAGGCTGCTGACTGTTCTGCGCCTCCTGTTGCACCAGTGAACCTCTTCAGTGAGGAGGATTTTCCGCCCCTTCCTGTGGGGGATGATTCGGTGGGTATGGACGTCTCTTCGGCTGAGGAGGTGCCCTCTGTAGCAGCTGTTGCTCCGCCTGTTGCGCCCCCTGTTGTTGCCGCATCTCTTCCAGAGGTTGGGTCCTCGCCTAGTGCTCCGGCTGATGTCCCTGTGCCTCTTCCGCCTGCCGTTTGCTCGGTCCCCTCGTCTTCCAGTTCTTCCTCTGCTGTGTCTGTCCCGGTCCCTGCACCCTCGCCGTCTGTCCCGGCTGTGCTGGGAGATGAGGTGGATCTGGAATTCCCTCCTGTGCCTGGCCTGGTGCCCCGTGTGGTTGAGGAGGCTGCCGTGCTGCGGCGTGCGTCGGTTCGCTCGGTTGGTGCTGCGCGGGTCGCTGAGTCTGCCTCCGGGTCTGATGATGTGCGGCCCGAGCCTAAGCGTTCCCGGCGTTCTTCTGTGTGGGCTGATGTTGGCGAATTCGACGAGTGTCGTCCTTCCGTTGACGGTGGCGTGGCTCCGGATGTGGTGCACACTACGGTGGTGGCGGAGGTACACTTGCCTGAGGATGCCGGTGCCGGCGTTTCGGCCTCCACTTCTGGTCCGGTGTCCGAGGGTCCTGCTTCAGGTGCGTTGCCTGCGTCGGATGGCTCCGGTTCTTCGTGGGCGGTGGTTCCCCCTGCTGTAGTTGGTGGTGAGCGGGGTGGCCTGGTGGTGATGTTGAGAAAGGATGCTCGCTCTGGATGTTCTGTGGCCCCTTCCTCGTTACCCGTTTCCTCGGCAGCGGTCTTGCCGCCTCTTCCGTTTCCTGCAGTTCCTTCCGTGTCTCCTGCGGTATCCGTGGAAGTGCTATCGTCTCAGCGTCCGCCACCTGCTCCGATGGCGAAGGCGTGGCAGGCTCGGCGTCCCTCGTCCGCTTCTCTGGTGTCGTCTGCTTCCTCGAAGGGCGTGGTTGGCGCTCCCCAGCCTCGTTATGCGACTTGCGTCAGTGACCTTAGGCATTGGCCGATGCCGCCAGATATCGATGTTCCTGAGTTTATGATACCCGCTCGAGCGCGGGGGATCAAAAACCCTACCGACCTTGAAGATCTCGTCTGGGAAGCTTACAAGTCGAAATATCCTTGTGAGCTGTTCCCGGAGAAGTACGTTTCTTCCGATGTTCCTCGCAAGTGATTTCTATGTATTTTGTGTTGCCTGGTTGTGGGGTGTGTATGTGAGTGGGTGGGGTGGGTATTGTTTCCCGGTTCCTGCGTGCTCCGGTTTGTTTTGTGGGTTTTTTTGTATGGCTCGTGGGGGGGGGGGGTGTGCGGTTCCTATGCGTTTGTGTGTTCGGTTATGGATGTCGTGTGCACTTGTTTGTCATATTGTGTGCCCTTCAGGCTGTTGGCGTGTGCTCTTTGTTATGTTTTGCCTTCCGTTTGTTATGGCGGATCTGTTTTCTTTATTGTTATTGTCCTTATTCTTGTATGTTTCTCGCCTCTCTGTATGTATTTGAGGTGTTAGCAGGCTTGTTTTGTGTGCATTTTGTCCTGGGGTTTTCCCTTATGTTTGTATTACACTGTGTTACTAATTGTGTATTGTTTGTATATGCATTTTTTTGTGGTCAGCCCTTCTGGCTGGTCTTCTATTGATTTGTTCCTTTGTCCTTGTACATGTGTGTGCTTTGTACTTTTGTTCTGTTATATTTGTTCTGTTTTTCTTGTACATTATACGCATGCTTGCATGTAAAAATAAAAAAAAAAAAAAAAAAAAAAAAAAAAAAATTATGATGTGCCAAGAGTACTGGGCACTCGATAACCTATTGATGCAATGTTGATGACCCATTAATGACAGGATTTATGTAGATACCATTGAGGCAGGAAGGCGGGATCAAACCTGCTATCCTGATCCATCCCGTTGATATATCACGTCTTTTGAATATGTTATTTTATTGACTGGGATTTTTGACCAAACCACACACTAGAAATTGAAGAGACGACGACGTTTCGGTCCGTCCTGGAATCGACGTGATAATGGTCCAGGACGGATCGAAACGTCGTCGTCTCTTCACTTTCTAGTGTGTGGTGTTTAGTCAACTTTTTCAGCCACGTTAATGTGACTTTTCATCTGCATTTAGATAGACATTTATCCATAGATAAATTTTCCGTTTGTATACTCAAACATCGTAATATCTGGTCTTAATTGGGAAAAGGTTCCTCAACGCACTGAAACGTCCTTACTTTCCTTCCCTTTCTGTTTAGCCAGGTTATTGTGGCTTCCTCTAGGCATCCATGCCTCAAGCGACCGCTTCTGTGAGCAATAAAATGATACCTTATTCTTACGGATATTCTTACCGTTCAGGATTGTTCCTAAGGCAAGTTGCGTCTTCCTGAAACTCTGACAACAGTCAACTGATCACCCATATACCTCCAACTTCACTATTCTGTCTCTTATGGTTGTTTGAACCTTAACATTTCGTAATGAGACTGGAACTGAGCAACTCTGAATCCTGAATGCCACTGATTACAGCCCCTCCCCTTCCCCCCCATACACTAACCCGTTCTCATAAACAAAGGTCAAATGCTTGTTAATCCAGTCGTCGAACCTCGTTTGAATAAATGAAAAACACTACACATGACTGATGACGTTCGAACATTTTTTGAACAGTGCTTCGCTGACGATCTCTGTTCGAAACACACCTTTGTAAATGCTTCACCCACGTATTACAAATCTAAATAATTATCAACAGAACCAAAAACACCTAACCTAATCTAGTCTAGGTCTATCTATACATAAAATTAGAATATAAATGATAAGATAAATTTTTAAGAATTTACCTTTATTGATTACTCAGTATGTTAATAAAATTGACGAATGTGTATTTGGTGTCGAACGTTGCTGCATGGACGAGCATAGAGTGATTAAATGCTTGTTAAGCCAACTGCCTTGTTAAGTCAACTGTCGACTCGTCTATAAGCTGTGCTGGTCCAGGCTGCCGCCGACATGAAAGAGGCATTCGTCAATTTTAAGGTACCGAGTAATCCAAAAAAGGTATTTTATATAAATGCATATTATTATATATTGTTATTTTATGTATAGCTAGACCTAAGCTAGTCTAGGTTATGTTTTTTTGGTAATAATTTGTATTTACAGTAAGTGGGTGTAGCATTTAGAGAGGTCTGATTCGAACATAAAAATAAGTGATGCACTTTCCGAAAAAAGTTCGAAAGTGTCCCACGAAAAGTTCGAAAATAATTGCTTATATACATAAGTTATAAATCGAATATTTATTCGAAAAGCATTACCTTTAAAACTGCTAAAAAATATAAAGGGAAAAAATCATTAAAACTGGCCTCAGGCACTTATACCAGGAGAGGCAGAAAACACATCCAACTCAAACACTCCTGGAACTTGACTTTTGGCAAACAGGAACTTCTGAAGAATTGTTTGCTCGCTTGGCTCATGAGCGGAGTGAGGTGGGGGGAGTGTATGTATGCATGTGTGTGTGTGTGTGTGTGTGTGTGTGTGTGTGTGTGTGTGTGTGTGTGTGTGTGTGTGTGTGTGTGTGTGTGTGTGTGTGTGTGTGTGATACACTTGTGATGCACAAGCAAGCGAGCCATGTTCCAACCGACAGCATTAAAGGTGGGACTTGGGAGCTAAAACGCGTTCCAGCAAGCGTATCTAGACCTTCACACACACACAGTCACAAACAAAATGTTTCTCAAAAACTACAACCTTCATAAATAAGCAAGCTGTCAACTGGTAGTGCAGACCAGTGTTGCACTGCACATTGCAAACAGAGACTTTCAACTCAACTGCAGCGTTTTACCTGCGCATTGCAAATGCAGAATGTCTTCAGAGTAACTCCTGTGTTTAAACAAACGACGCTCTCTTCTGAACTCAAGGAGGGAAAGGAACTATCACGAGAAAGCGCCAAGCCATTACGACTATATAGCACTTAAAGGGGGTCAGGATAAGGATTTGGGATGGGAGGGATGGGTGAAGGAATAGTGGCCAACCACTTGGACCATAGGGGATTGAACGCCGACCTGCATGATACGAAACCGTTGCTCTACCGTCCAGCCCAAGTGGTTAGGAAGAACCAGCTTACAAATATTGCCATTAAAAAAAGGTTAATCAAACAGTATTCCAAACTTCATATTTATAAAAATTGGCAAATATTTTACAGTGAATATAAACTTGCAGTACACATAGGCTTCAGTGCTGAAAGTCTGTCTGTCTTTCCAGCAGAAAAGTCCAAAATTATCTTAATGCACTTCCATAGGTTCGGCTGAGGCCACTATCGAGGCTGCCGGCTTAAGATAAAACACATCACTCAATGCACACAGACTCTTATATACATTGATCCTAAGATTAGCTTCTAGAGTCGAGGGCATCCTTGACCTCCCTCAAAAAGTCTAGAGTCTGTTGCGTCAAGAATTGATCACATGGGTTAAAGTCTAGAGTTACGGTGAGTCCCTAACATGCCTCGAGAACTCTGCAGTCTGTTGCGTCAAGAATTGATCAAATGGGTTAAAGTCTAGAGTTACGGCGAGTCCCTAACATGCCTCGAGAAGTCTGCAGTCTGTTGCGTCAAGAATTGATCACAAGTTTCGCTTATAAGTTATGGGGCGTCCTTGACCTGCCTCGGGAAGTCTGAAGTCTGGTGCGTCTAGAGTTGATTCTTCTGGTTTTACTCTCGACTTCCGCCTCAGGTAAGATATTGGGGAGAATGCCAGCAGATTTGTGAACTGAGGACCCGAGGCTGGTACTCACGTTGGCCAGAGCTGAGAGAGCCTCCAGTTCAGAGTCCGTCAAGGGGTTATGGGTAGGTCTTGCTATGCCTTTTTCGGCGTTGTTTAATGTTTTCCTGGATGTACCTCTGGTGTTTGGTCTGGAATCTCTTCTCTCGTTGCTTCTGCTGTTTCCAGAGTCGTTAGGAGAAAGTGAGAAAGTGGAGGGAACTGCAGGATTGTCATTGATGCTTACTTGTGACCCACTGGATTTAATGCTCGTTGCTACTACTCGAAGACTCTGATCCGGAGGATTGCCGGTGCTTTTAAGAGAGCCGCTAACATTTTTTTCTGTTGTGCTCGACGATGAAGATAAGGCCGAGTCAGATGACGAAGAAGCAGATGCTGTCGATGACCTGGAAATTGCTGCTGCTGCTGATGATGCAGAATCTACCTTTACAACTTTAAGGCTGCTGCTTCCATGTGATATAGGTGTTACCTTCTTCAGGATCTTCCTGCGGTTGCTTGAAGTATTCCCTATTCTGTCATTTCTTCTTGTTTGACTCTGCAATTGTTTCGAAGAAGAGTCAGTGGATCTGGAGACCGGAGTTGGTATTACTGTTGTTGCTTCCCCATTTTGAACTTGACTGAAACTTTCCTTTCGTGTGGTAGTTCTTCTTCCACTATTTCTGTTTCTTTGTGAAGGTGTAGGGATGGTTGTCACAGGTATTGGGGCTTCTGTTGTTGCTGTGGCTGAAGTTTGTTGGGATCTTAATTGTCTGACTCTCTCCCGAGAGCTCACTCTCGATGACTGAGTTGTTGTGATAAGTGTCGCGGCTTCTGTTGTTGCTGATGCTGTGGTTTGTTCGACTGTTAAGGGTCTGAACCTCCTAGGAGATCTCACTCTCAATGACTGCGTTGTCGTGAGAGATGTTGGGACTTCTGTGGTTGTTGTTGTAATCACAGTTGTATCTCGAACTGTTAAGGGTCTGAATCTCCTAGAAGATCTCTCTCTCGCTGACTGTGTTGTTGTGACAGGTGATGGAGTTTCTGTTGTTGGTGGTGTTGTTGTTGTTACTGTTGCTGTATTTTGCTGGACTGTTATGGGTCTGAGTCTCTTAGGAGATCTCACTCTCGCTGACTGCGTCGTGGTGGCGGGTGTTGTCGTAACTATATCATTGATCCGCCCGGAGTTTCCTCTTTGATTTCCAAACGACCTGGAGGATCCAATTGAAGATGTTGCACCAACAGTTTCCTTAGTAATATTATCTGTTGTACTTTTCCCGGAATTACTCTTAACGTTTTTGGTAAATTTCACTGAGAGAATTCTAGCATTGGCAAGTGCAGGATTAAATTTTGCTAAGGCTTCCAAGGCTAAGCGATGCTTTTTTGCCTCTTCATCTTGGGACTCATTGGCTACAATAGAAGGTTCAGTAATGCTTTGTTCCTGGCTTCCACGAGAACCCGGGCGGCCATTTATGACAATCTTCTTCTTTATAACCTTCCTGGCACTTGAGGTCTGGCCAGCCTCAGTATGTTCAGCCGCTGTGTCTGACCCATGGGCATCACTTTCGGGAGATTCAGGCAGTGAGGATGACTGAGTGCTGAGCTGCTTTCGGGATTGGGTTCCCCTCGAGGTTGTCCCACGTCGACGACTGGCAACTTGAGTTGACACACCTACGTGTACAGGCACTGCAGTAGTGGTGGCAGTGGGAGTGATTCGAGTCCTAGATGGTGAGGTGTTGATGTGGTGCTGTAGCGTGTGCTCTGAGACCTGAATATTAGTCGCTGCAGAAGCATATGGTGACTCTTCGGGTGTTAACGGAACTGGAGAAGAGACAGCAGGCAAGGGCGTCACGCGTCCTGGGCCTCGCCTTCTGCTGTTCTGAACTGAGCTCAGTGAGTTACTCGCGAAGGAACCACTTGAGCCTCGAGATGTAAGCTCTCGTGACTTGCTACTGGAAACTGCTTGGTTAGAATCAAAAGATACTGAAATGTCTGGTCTATATGTGGTGGGAATCGTATCAAAGTTTTCATTATCTTCCACAAAGCTTGATTCAGTTGTGAATTCACTCTCGAATTCTGTTGTTGTATAATAATCTTCACTTTGTATGGGTTCTTTTATCCTGTTGGTAAGTCGGTTTCTGCTGAAACTATTGATTGAATTGGCTCCGAAATCATTGCTCCTCAGGTTTTCTTGAGCATGCTCCTCAGTGTTTGACTGTTGTGTGTTTATGGATCCTAATGACCCATGGACTCTTGACGAGGCATTTGATCCATGTAGCATGGTACTAGATCCTTGGACGTTAGAAGACCCTTGTACTTTTGAAAATCCACTAGATGTCTGAGAAGCTGTTGAAGCTAGAGATGATCCACGAATTCTAGAAGATGGACTTGACCTTTGTGTATCTGAAAATGATGCTGATCCTCGAACCTTAGAAGAACCATTTAATGCGTGAGTATCAGATAATGCTGGGACTCGTGAAGAACTAATTTTTTGGCCACTTGCTTCTGGTAAGTTTTGGAAATTTTGCACGCTTGGTGAAAAGGAACTCACAGTATTTGTTTCAAATTTTGAGGAAGTGTCAACTGAATCCTCTGCTTGACTTGCTGGTCCAGAAGACTTTTGATTCACAGGTGAGGCTCCACGGTTTACTGAGTTGGTAGAAACTGCCCTCGAGACACCGGATCCCCCTCTTGTGTTGACATGTCTTTGAGTTCCCCTTTGGATGTTACTGCTAACGTCCTTGGAAGCTTGGAATGACCAGTCTGAGGACTGTATAAGGTAAAGGCTTGGTTGGAACTTCTTCTTGCCACGATTTCGGGTAATAGTAAAGTTAGATTTTGTGTTGGAAGAGACCAAGGAGCCACGGTTGGCTGCAGCCATTGCTGCTGCTGCAGCTCGAGCTGTTGCTTCTTCTGCTGCCGCTGCTGCAGTGAAAGCATTTACAGGTCCTCTATCCATAGAGAAGGCTAGGGAACTTCCACCTGGGAGTGCTTCTTCCACTGTGTGCTGCATTGATCCTCTAAATCCACTAGGAGTGACAGATCCACGTATAGCTAAAGGTGTGGTTAATCCATTGTCATTCCCAGAACCTAACGATCCTCTTACATCAGTAGAAGTACCACGCGAGGATCCTACAGTGCGTGATGCACCTCTTCGGGATGATGTTGATAATCCTCCATTGTTAAAGGCAGAGGAATCAAATTTATGGCTTTCATCAGAGAAGCCTGAAACACTGTTAAACTCTTGTGAGTGAGAAAGAGCTGATGAAGACACACCAAACCCGTGGGAGCTCTGTGATCTTTGACCTAATGAAGTGCTAGATTTTGGGAAGTTTGATCCAAGGCTGCTGTGAGAAAAGTCAGAACCTTGGAAGTCTATTGATCCTCGGACTCCTGATAAAGCACCAGATCCTTGGTTGTTTGTTGATCTATGAACACCAGATGAAGAATCAGATCCCCTAAAGTTTGTTGATCCATGGATTTCAGACCCACGGAAGTCTACAGATCCATGACCACTCACAGAAGCACCAGATCCTAGAAAGTTTGTTGATCCACGAACTCCGGTTGCAGCACCAGACCCTTGGAAGTGTGTTGATCCATGAACTCCAGTTGCAAGACCAGACCCTTGGAAACTTGCAGAGCCATGATCATTTACAAAAGCATCAGATCCCTGAAGGCTAACTGATCCACGAGCACTTGATGATATTCCCGATCCGTGAAGTGAAGATGATCTTGACGACCCTGTTAAATCTGATGAGTCATGGACGTTCTGGGAAGCAGAAAATCCTGATAACCCAGTTGACGAGGTAGTTGTAACTACTGAACCTCCTGAGAATGCTGAACCTCTGGGAAATGGCGAGTTGAAGCCATCTCGTGATCCAGAAAATTGGGCATCATTGAAGTCTCGTTCAGCTTCGAATGCAACTTCGGTGGTGACAAAGGCATCGTAACTGTCTTCATCATCGTAGTATTGTGTTGTGGATGGGATGGTGACTCCACTGGTGGCATGAAGGTGAACAGAGGGGGAGAAGCCACTGGCATGGGCCTCTCTCCCTCCAGCACTAATCACATCAGCAGAGAACCCCGGTATCTGGAGACGGGGCGAGGAGCTTGTGGGTTGTTGTGCTCCAGTTGGGCGGGGAGTGAGATGTTGGTGAGTAGAAGCTGGTTGGTGGGCAGGAGAGGCTGGTTGGACGGTAGGAGAGACTTGTTGATGGGTAGAGAAAGCTCGTTGGTGGGTAGAGATAGCTGGTTGATGAGTAGGAGAGGCTGGTTGACGGGTAGAAGAAGCTGGTTGATGGGTAAATGATGGATTCCGTGTTGGAGCAACTGACTGGCCTATAAATATGGCTGGCTGCGGCGTTACAGCCTCTTTTGACGCGTCGAGGCTTCCTGAAGAGACTAATGAAAAAGCTGAAGACCCTTGCTTAATGGATCCTGCCGAGATGTGAGAGCTGTCGAAGTTCACTGATCCTGAGGTAGAGGACTGTGTCCTTCCTCTTGAGGACACAGACAATCCTTGGGCCCTTCCATCTGTTTGAGCGAAGTTCTCGGCTGCAGAACCTGATGCTACGCGGGTAATCAATGAACCCTGGTTGTTTAAACGTCCTTCTGATTGCTCCGAGCCAAAATTAGCTGTGTGAGCGGCAGTGATCAAGGCGTGGGCATTTATTGGGGTTGGTTGCGTGAAACCTATTGACGCTTCCTGGATGCTATTGGCAGCCAATCCAGAGGAGAATGGGATGGAACCAGTGAGGCTAGAAGGTCTCAAATTGTTCACCGTTGAATCATTTGAGCTTCTTAATGTCGGATAACTGGAGGTAGTAAAGAACTGTGTCGGTTCTGGCGTTGTTAAGGTCCTGGAACTGGAGAAGGTTG